AGATGAGACACCCTTCTTTTACGATTGCGCGGGGGGGGGGGGGAGAGATAAGCTTCAAGGGAGCTGGCAGAGACCAAGATAGCTGCTTTGATAGCACTCCAGCATACTTCTGAAACATAACTCATAAACAGCTGTAGTGCATAGCCCCAGTTTAGGTGAAAGAATAATTAGAATTGTTATAGAATGCTAGGGCTCTGGTTACTACTAATGCCGCCATCATCATCATCATCATCATCATCATCATCATCATCATCATATACTTTATTGTCATTGTACATAGTACAACGAAATTAAAGATGCAATCATTTTGGTGATCTACAACCATACTCATATACACTCACACAACCATCCATAACCATCCCATAACTATATCTTATAATAATAGTAGAGTTGCAGCCTTCTAAGTCAATGGATATGAAAGGCTGTAATTTAGGATTGCACCTTAAATGACTTCAGTGAATTCTCAGAGGCACACTTGGTGGAACTGCCACCCTTACATGCATAATCTAGAATGTCACTTTAGCTGCAGAAAACTTCGTTGGGAAGGCTGCTATTCCATTGCCCACCCCATCCCTAATGCAAACACAATACAAAAATTGGGTTAAACTAGGAATTTTATTAAACATAGCTGATCTGCAACTTAATCAACTCGCAAAGTACGGGTTGCCACAGGCATGCAAAGCAAGACTCCTCCACTGGGCAATACCACCTTGGCTCAGAGCCAGGTCCAGAATTTCTCCCCAACCCATTTCTTCACGGCCCATACCTAAGTGCCTAGAGGGGATGAAAGGGCACAGTCCCCATCCATGACTGTTCAACCTTAAGTCCCCCAAGCCCAAGGAGGCTCTCACTGCACCACCCAGACTGTATAGCCAATAGGTGCCAGTTTAATAACCCCTATCACAGATATCTCGGGGTGCTTACCAATTAAACCTCCCATAACCCACATGTGTGTTTGGCTTAACTCCCCACCCTCCCACTGCACCAAGCGGTCATGCAGACTGTCCTGCAGATCAACTAAAAACAAATCCATCCCACTGAATGATAAATGCACCCAATCAGGCTTAAATAGGTGTGGCAACAAGAATTTGATCCCAAGGTGCAAAATAACCCCTGCAATCACCGACCTACCAACTGTTATTCAACCAACAATAGGCCTTGTCTATTTTTGCTGGGTGCAGAATGCCCCTCCATACTTGCCTAGGTAACCAATTGGACCATACTAAAGTGGTTAAGTGTGCGGACTCTGATCTGGGAGAACCGGGTTTGATTCCCCACTCCTCCATGTGCACCTGCTGGTGTGACTTTGGGTCAGTCACAAGCTATGGCACAGCTGTCCTTGAAAAAGAGCAGTTTGTGTCACTCAGCCCCACCTACCTCACAGGGTGTCTGTTGTGGGTAGGGGAAGGGAAAGGAGTTTGTAAGCCGCACTGAGACACCTTTGGGTAGTGAAGGGCGGGGTATAAATCCAATCTCCTCCTCCTCCTCCTCCTCCTCCTCTCCTCCTCCCCTCCTCCTCCTCCTCCTCCTCCTCCTCCTCCTCAAACAATTCTGGGGAACCACTGCCAGATGACCTGCAAATCACGCAGGATCTCAGGAAGCAAGGACAACACCGACCCATTGCCCAGGTCATTTCCACCCAAATGAATTACTATAACCTGGGGAGGCATTCCCAACAACCTGAAATTGTGGATGAAAGGTAGCAGCTGTCTCCAGTTCATGCCTCTTCCCCCCCCCCAACAACAGAGGCCAAATCTCCATGCCCGGCTGGCAACCAATGCAGGAGCAGCTCGCCCTTTGGTTAGCCCAATACACAATTGAGTGGCCACAAATTAACACATTGGTACCAGCTAGTCTCGCACACTGCATCCTGTGGACAAATTAAACAGTTAGAACCATCACCTCAAAGGATATAAGACTGATAAGCCTTGGACCTCCACCCACCCAAATGCTGATGCTCCAAAGAACTGAACCCCAAACTTGCAGCTGTTGAAGCTGCCCCAATCTTGACCTACCCCCCACCATCTGCATCTATCCAGAAAGCACTCTAACTGGGCAAATGCCATCCTTCAAACTCTTGTGCAGGGTCAATGTCTGCCCGACCCTTTTCTAATCAGTCTTGGAGATGCAGACCTTCAAACTCACAGATCCACTGGCAATAATCACATCAGACACAAGGAGTGCCTTTCCCCTGATCCCAACGTGATCTAAACAACAGCTCGCTAATTCTAAGTGCTCCCCCCCAAAAGTCACCAACCCGACCTCCCATCGGGATGAACAAATGCCTTTAAATAACTCAACCAGAGTCATAATGAAAGGCCACCATTTGTCCACCTGGGGTGCTGCTTCTCTTGTCTGCCTCTCCAACATATGGTGTAGCCTAAACTCCTCCATAAATTCTTCATATCCCTGGGCCTTCGGATGAAACGCTATTGCTGCAAAATAGCTCTCAGTCATCCTAACTGCTAGGTTCTGCCTTTTCAAAGCCACAATGAACTGCAGAAGGTGTTCCACAGGAACAGGCCACCTCTCTGCCAAGCTACAATCTGCCTGGAACCTAGCAAACTCAGAAAGGTACCTCTGATAGGAAGTTCTTGAACCTGGAGCTAAGGATGCCTCTACTGCCCGCATGACTTCACCCTGCCAACATTCCAGAGACTTTGCAGCATAGCCTCTGGCCCCAGGTTCATATCCAGAGCCAGCTCCCTGAACCAGAGCTCCTGAAAGCGAGACAGGGCATTCACTATGGTCAAATCTGCGTTTGTCTTTCCCACCAGTGTCCCAGCCTTCTGACTCCCTCTTCAAAAAAGCTTGTCTACATTTGGTTTCGTTTTCACACCTCCAGTCCTAGCATACTTTTGCATGTCTACATATGTTTATCACCCTTTCATGGTGGCTCCACTGTCACTGCACCTCTACAATGCTTTAAACGAATCTTCTCCAAACAACATTCAAACAAGCATAGAGAAAGGCGTTGTCACAGCAGCATGAAACTGATTTAAAAATGCAAATGCAGATTCGACCTATGTCATTGTTAACACCAGGCACATGCTTAGCCACAAACAAGACATTGTGACACAGACATTATAAAACAAACACAAGAACCAGCCTCATAACCAAATATGAACAAGATGTCAGCCTATTAACAACTTGAACCACTGCCTGATTATCGCAGAAATATCACAACCTGGTTTCTGAGGCACGCATGCTACAAGTGAACCGCAACTACTATTGGAAAAAAGTCTTAAAAGGTTAAGTCCCTTGTAAGACCTGAATCAACCCAGTAAGTGGGCCAGCATTGGGCACAGCAACTGCCGCCGAAGAAGACCACAAACCCAACAGTACCCAAGGCGTCCAAGGAAATCTGCAGAGACGCCTCCAGCAGCGCCATTCTATGTCAAAAAGAAACCTCACTGAAACCAGCCAAAACCTCCAACCACATATGGAGGTCCACCTTAATACACCTTGAGACTCTAATCCCGTGGTGTGGGCTATGGATTCCCTTGAGGCAATCCAAAATCCTACACGTGAAAGCCCTCCTCGGAGTCACCACCAAACAGGCAAAATTCAAATGATTGAGTAAGACTTGCCATTCATACATTATAAGGCTCTTCTTCGCGCAAGCCTGTCTAACATCTCTATCTCTTAAACTTTATCCCTAGGCAAGGCACAAAGCTCCTTCTCCGTATCAATTAGAATGCCTAAAAATGAAAGAGTCATGGTAGGCCCCTCCATCTTTCCTTCAGCCAAAGGAACACCCAGCTCCTCTGCAAGGGTCTGAAAAGTCTCGTGAAATAGAACACCCCATAGGCAGCCCAATAACATGGATAAAACCACCAAATGTGAAACCCAACAAATCAAAACCACCGGGAAATATCGGCAACAACCTGAAAGCTGACTTAATGTCACATTTACCCATCAGTGCATCCCAGCCACAACGAGCCACCATCACAAGAGCTTTATCAAAGGAAGTATAATTCATTGATGCCAGCTTCTCCGATATACCGTTATTGATTGAGTCATCATATTGGTAAAACAGAAGGTGTATTAATCAATATTTTCCCAGCAATTTCTTGGGAACCATTCCCAACATAGAGATCTTATCAATTTTTTGCCGCACCATGTGCTCCAAACCTTTAAACAATCTAAGGTTTGTGGCCATCCTATGACTCCTCATGCCCTCAAATGGATCCTAAACCTTCCTCTAAACCCAGATTCAAAGTAAGCCGCGTCCCCCTTCTGCGGTTAAACATACAAAAGCACAGCCAATACCTAAACCTTGATTGGGCTGTGTGCCTTTCCCAGAAGTACCCCCAGCAGGCTTCTTTGATCTGCCTACGTCACCTGCACCAGTTCTGCCTCCTGACCCTTAAGCACAAACTGAGGCTGAGTGAAAGCCTCCACAGACACTAGGCATGCTTGAATTTGCAGAGTAAACTCTGAACAGACAAGGCAAGGTTGAACCCATTGCTTAGGAGCAGGTCCTTGTCCAGTATCACTAGTGGCACGAGCAATCAGGTGTCCGCTATCAGCATAACACCCTGAAATTGCTACCGCAGGGCCCATGCACTGGGACCACAACTGATGATGCTTTCTATCTCAAGGGAACAAAGGATCCATAGCCACCTGAGACCAAACATTTCATCATACCTAAGCCAGGCCTCCCCCGCATACTCCCTATAGGCTTTAGGCCAGCTACACCACACTGCAAGGCCCTCAGCTCGGCTCCATCAGCCCCAGACCCAGCACACTAGGTGCTGCCCTGAGTCCTCTGAACCTCTCTCTTCTAAAGGAGGGATCACAGCGAGTCTTGAACCCAGCCACTGCCAAAGCTCATCTACGCCATTTGCCCACCACCATGGTGAATGCAGCATGCTCCACCACTGCTTCTTGCCATACAACACCTTGACCACTCAACCTGACACTGACTCTCCTCACCTGACCGCCTGGCAACAGCTTCAGCCCGCAGGAGGCCCAGTGAAGGCCACAAGGACCTACAGCCAGGAGCCCAACAGAGGAGATGAAGCCATGCCGAGGAGCAAGGAATGACTAGCGATTTCCTGGGCTTCCTCCTCCCTTAACGACCACTACATTGAGGCATCACTTCATTGGCTTCATTTGTCCCCACATGTCTTCATTCAAACTGGGGGGTGGGAAAATGCTGACTTCAGCCCATTTAGGTGGGAACCTGTCTTTGCACCTGTCTCAAATAAGCACATCTATTCCTTACTGTCTCTGTAGGGCTGTAGAGAGAAACCAAGCAACTTTCTCCCAACAGGAGTTGGCATCTCTCCCTACTTGCCTTCTGGCATCACATAAATGCTCTTTGAAGTGCCCGGAAGAGATGGTGTTCCTGTTCTGGCCTTAATCGGTCTGATGATTTTGTTTTCCTTCCCAGATTCTGTTACTGTTTTCACTTCTGTAGTTTTCATCAGTATGGCTTGTTTTTATTTGTGTTGTTCTGAGATTTGATAAACTGAAATATGAGAGTGAAATATTTCAAACACAAAATTTTAAAAAGCTCAGGCTTTACCTCTGCAGTTCCACTGATCTTGAGTCGAGCCATATGGTGATTGGTATTATCAGTTACAAAGTCTGTTTGATTGTACTTTTTCCCTTTTGGATCAGTCAGAAATATTCCAGGTGGGTGTATGCGGTCACTCCAAGTAATTACAAAGTAAGTGTCATTTCCCACAGTTTTATCAAGGGATACAGTACCATTTAGCCACTCCATGGGTTTGATGCTCTGACCTTTGCTTTCAAGCTGTTGAGAAATTAGTAGAGTATTATGACATAGCATGAAAAGTTTTACAGACTTGGTAAGGTTTATGTCATTTCTTAGAGGGTAAAGTACACTGCCTAGGAGGTCTCCTCACACTGGATAGTTGTGGTGAAAGACAAATAATGCTCTGGAAGGTATAAATGCTGCTACCTCCATGAGCACACTGGTCTGAGATCCTGAAACTTCTCATAGCTAAACACATGAAGCTAGGTCAAGGGCAGCAATATTTAACAGACAGCTCCACCATAACACTGCACATAAGCTGCTATGCTCTGTACTACCCAAAATGGATACCATGATCAATCTTCTGCACTAAATCCATAATCCATTGGGGTGAATAGATACGATTTTTCAGTATATTTAAATTCCACATTAGTAAGAGATATGGCACTAATTTCATTTACCTGACATCTGATAAAAGTAATATGTACACAGCTAGAACAAATTCTGACCAAGTGAAATCAGTTATCACCAGTAAGAGGCTGAAACTGAAAGCAAAAAAAGCAAATTGGAAGTTATGGTGATATGGGAGTGGAGTAGGGTTGCCAGTTCTGCGTTGGAAAATACCAGGAGACTTTGGTGGTGAATCCAGGAGAGGGTGGGGTTTGGGGAGGGGAGAGGCCTCAGCATGGTACAGTGCCATAGAGTCCACTCTTCAAAGTAGCCATTTTCTCCAGGGGAGCTGATCTCTGTCAGCTGGAGATCAGTTGTAAAAGTGGGAGATCCCCAGGCCCCACCTGGAGGCTGGCAACCCTAGAGTGTAGGGCTGCACTCCTAAGAACACCTTCCTGGGAGTAAGTCCCACTGAATAAAATGAGATTTACTTCTGAATAAAGTGTTATCAGGATTGCTTCTTTCGAGACTAGACACTTTTGAATTGAGTGTGCTGGAGATGAGAAGTCTATTTCCTAAATTCCCAGAACAATATAAAATTTCTCATAAATATCATGACAGAAGCTATGCTGTATGTGCCACTAAGCAACAAACTCAGAAGCTCCATGTATTTGCATTGGGGATGCCAGTCTCCAAGTGGGACCTGGGGGTCCCCTTGAATTACAGCTCATCTCCAGACTACAGAGATCAGTTCTCCTGGAGAAAATGAATGCTTCGCAGAGTGGACTCTGTGTTATTGTACTCCACTGAGGTCCCTATCCTCCACAGGCTCCATTGACAAACCTCCACAGTTCTTATCCACAAATCTCGAGGAGTTTCCCAACCTGGATCTAGCGTTTGTGCTTTGTCTTCCAGTTTAAATTTTTGGTATGTCTCATTTGTCTGCTATTTGCAACATGTGGATTGTTCAACTGATTACATTTTCTAAGGTATAACTGAAATACTGTTGAGAAAATATCGCAGTAGCATTTAACTAATTTGGCAAAACCCCAGCCAAAGCATTGATGAAGCTTCAAATGCGGGAATGATAGTGAAATATTATCCATTTTATGGGGAAATAATAAAAAACATTTATCAATACAAAAATATTGACTTCATATAAATAATCACACATCCACATTATTACAAGCAAAGGACTGCGTTTGATGTTATTTTTTCTGTGCTTTTTTATGGTGGTTGTTTTTGTTTGTTTCACTGCATTACTAATACTCCAGCACCCTGAATATTTTTAAACATTTTTTGAGGGGGGAATTCACTGGAGATGCCTCAGTAGAGAATAATTTCTTCTTAAATGGTACTTCAGAAAGCCCCACTTGATCCCAGATCTTTGACATCCAGACCTGAATAGCTTGTTGCGAGATATTTCCATCCCTTGAAGAAATCCCAGCGAAAGCGTCTATAAGACTGTTAGAATCCAAGCTATCAGTAGCAGAAAATTTCAAACCTCCTGAAACAGAATTGGAAGAAAAAAAATATTTTTTCAAGAAAAACTGGTAATATTTTTTAACTATTGGAATGATAGCTCTGTAATAAATATACTGGTATGTTACTTTACCTGATACAAATGTTTTACTATAAAAATACTATTGTTTACATAGAAATTTTGTTCTTTTTATGTTCTATATAGAATACTTTGGGGGGAAATAACAGACTGTAGGGTATGTATTACCAGCCAATTCAACTATTGTCTTTTGTTAGCGTATCTTAGGGTTGCCAGGTGCCTTCCTCCTGCTGGTGGGGGGTTTGGGGGGGCATTCCAGGGGTTGGGGGACATTGGTGACACGCTGACATCACGTTCAGAAGTGACATCATTATGTTGGTGACATTGGGCAATGCTCTACTTTTTGGGGGAAATGGCTACGTACAGACTGCAGAATTTTGCCCAAAAAGTAAAGCGTCACCCCTGATGTTGTTGACGCGATGATTTCACATCCAGAAGTGACAACAGTGCATCACCAACATTGTGCGGAGACATCTGTCTGGGGGCGGAGTTCCCCCACAGGCCAGCTGGCCAACAGGAGCTCGCAAAATCAGGGGATCCCCTGCCTCCACTGGCCAAATGGAAACCCTAGTATCTCTAAAGGATACAGCAGAGAATAAATATCTTTAGCTACTCTGATTATAAATATATTAACCATTCCTTAAATAGAAATCACATTGAGATAGAAGAAACAAAAGAGAGATTGAGTTTTGTAAGAACTGAAAAGATCTCCACTGGTTTTATCTAGTCCAACATTCTTTCCCCAACAACAGCTAGTTAAATGCTCCTGGAAGTTTACAGGAGAATTAAGGTGATGACCTCCTTCTGTTAGCTGTCACTATCAGCTGATACATATATTGCCTCTGAGCACGAGGTTGCACTGAACCATCATTATAGAAATGAGGGAAATTGAATAATCAGGAGGAGCATTGGGTGAATGACATAGAGATCTTTGTCAAGGGCATGTATTGGCAGGCTGGATGGTCCTTGTGTCATGCTCTTCTGGAGGCACCAACCACCACTATGCAGCACAGAAATGAATCTTGTAATGTTTTTATGTCCTGCTTACTTATTTACCTGTCATGTCTGCCAACATTTCCAATTCTTTTTCAGCACTTGGTCCCAAGGCAATGGTATGGATTACTGACCCACTTTTTTGAACTGTGCTAAAGCAAGAACTTACATCTGAATCTTCTCCATCTGTTAACAGCACAATTTCATAGCCCTCAGTACTTGAGTAACTCTGTAAAAACACCTGAATTGAAAAATTTATTTTAGATTTAATAGCAACAGAACAAGTACCACAGAAGTCACTGGATGTGTTTGGAGTTAAGGTGAACCTATGTAACTTCTGCATGGTCAGGTCTCAAGTCACACTGAAGGTATTTGTTACAGGATATCCTGTTGTATAAGTGTGTAATGTGATTATTTCACATGCCAGTGTTGTACCTTCTTGGAGGATGGCAGTTCTATATATCCTCTGTGTTGGGCCCAACCATACAGAAATGACAACTGTGAGAGCCATAGTGTTACACTGTACACTCGTGCCAACAAATTCTGTCATCTGTGGTCACAACAGAAAGGCAAGCAAATGCACTGGGAGCAAATTTATGGATTATGTAATGCCCTTATCTGGCAGGTGATCCTATAAGCAATCTCCCTTAATTATTTGCACAACATTTAAAGGCAGTTAGAAGGTTTACATTGGTCCAAACTGTGGAAGTGACAACAGGAGAATTTGCCAGCGTTGCAACAGCTCTAATGTGTATCTGTTTGTATCAAGGTGTTGGTTCTTTCAAGCCTAATTATCTGAATAAGTACTTATTCCTATATTATCTTTCTGATCATTGAGGTCTAGTAATGAATATTTGCTGTGGTACAACCTCCTTTGGAAACTAGATTCTCTTTGACATTAACTATATTTACTCAAATGCAAGACTAGTTTCCACCAGCACCAAAAAAAGAGAGGGTTACCTTAAATTTGCATACAGGTTACAGTTATGTCCAATAATGAAAAAAAATGTGCATAACATTTGGGGGTGGAAAATAGTCTTACATTTAGTGTTTACTTCCTTTTGAATAAATATGGTAACAGAATGTTTTCTGTTGTGGTCTTACATTTATCAAACTCATTACCAGTTTGGTGTAGTTAGGACTGTAATCTGGGAGAACCGGGTTTGATTCCCCACTCCTCCACATGCAGCTGCTGGGTGACCTTGGGCAAGCTATAGTTCTCTCAGAGCTGTTCTCTCAAGAGAAGTTCTCAAAAGAGCTCTCTCAGCCCCACCTACCTCACAGGGTGTCTGTTGTGGGGAGAGGAAGGGAAAGGAGATTGAAAGCCACTCTGAGGCTCTGAGTGAAGGGTGGGGTATAAATCCTTTCTCTTCTTCTTTTTAAGATTGCTAAATCTGAGAGCTTGTTCATTTTAGACAGGCTGTAAAGGCTTTTAAAAAGGGGTCATATTCAGCAATGAGGAATGGCAACAACCAGAGCTGTGGTACAAATGAATTGCCCAACTGTAAGCAAAGGTGTTTTACAAGTGATGCAAGATGGGCCATACCAGAAAGAGAATGATCTATGTCTCCTAGATGAGCAGTCAAAAGGGAACCTACAGCTGAACAGAGAGGTCAGTGATTCTCAAAGAGGACAAACAGCAACATCCCCAGAGGTAGCAGGAGTGCTTCCAGACCAGAACACAGCTGGCTTATTCAGAATAAACAGGATTTGTGCCCTGGAGGGCCCTCCATCACAGCTGACCTAGAAAAACCAAGCAGAAGAGTGACAAGCCTTGGAAGCTTGTGGATACTAGAAGCAGGGGAGGACCATGAATTGCAGTCTAGTGTGGAAAGACCTAGAAAGCCAGGTTTGTACCTGGCTGGACTGGGTTTGACCTTAACCACATGTTTGAAGGGCCTGTCTAGGATCCGGTTATCATATAGGCTTTAAACCACCAAGTATACTGGAGATTAGCTATGATTCTTTTATTGTACACAAAATAATGCTTCTGATGCAATCTTTGTTATTTATTTGCCATTATTATTATTTATTTTGTTCTTTGGTTTGAGAACTCATAAACTGAAAAGATTATAAGTCTTCATATAAATAATGATATAATCACAGCGAAATCCTGAAACAAGCAGGGGCCATGGTAGTGGGATATATGTAGAACAATGTTATCCCTAGCTGTTATCCCAACGGCTTATCATGGATGCTACCGAAGGCCCCCAAATGGTGCTGTTGCACCTTAGCAATGTGTCAGTGTAACTCTGAGATGTGCCGTTGGAAAGCCTATGGACTTTCAGTTCTGGGCCTCAGGACAAGAAGCTAAATTATAAAGATCAACAACCCTTATCCCACTGAGTTAAACAAAACTAGGGTTGCCAGGTCCTGTGCTCTCACCAGGTTGGGTGAGAGGGAGCTTTCTGGGAGTAGGGGGGTGGGGTCACCCTGCATGACATCCCCAACATGATGACGTCATGTGGAAGTGACAAAGTCGCATGGTGATGCTCTGGTATTTTGGGCAAAACTCTATAGTTACCAAAGAGTTTTGCCCAGAATACCAGAGCATTGCCACATGATGTCCCTGGCATGATAACATCATATCCATGTAATGTCACCATGCTGGGGGTGTCATGCAGGGTCATGGCAGTTGGGGGTGGGGCTTCCCCCTGATGGCCAGCTGGCAGGCAGGAGCCCACAAAATTGGGGGATCCCCCACTCTGATCAGGGGCTTGTAACCTGAAACAAAACCAGTGTTTATTTGTGTATGAGGAAGCTGCTTTATAAAAAGAATTGTCCATTCCCCGGACTAAAACTAAGACTGAATTATGTTAGGTCTTTTGGAATTGTGATTCTGCTTAAAATATTTCTAAAGGTTTGTATCCAATTGATTTCATTCTCTGTAAAGTCACCCACCCGATCCAATTGCTCTGACTCTCCCTTGGGCCTATCCAAGATTCCCAGTCATAATTTAGTGCAAGTAGTCCAATCCTGCACCTTTCACTGATGAAGAGATAGCACTGTTGCAAAAGTACAGCATGTTTACTACCATCATTAAACAAGGGGAACATGTGCTACAGCACTAAAGAAGGAGAAAGCATGCACAAATACTCCTATAGTAACTCTTATGGGAGAATGCTTGGCTAAATAATTTATCTTATGTAGTGGCCTGCAGAGGGAAGATACTTCATATCAGGTATGGAATGCTCAACTCCTCCCAATAAGACTGGGAACATCATTCCAGATCAGTTTTGTAAACTAACATTGCATGCACATTTATTTGTTCCGCTGTGGCGTGACCCAGTGATCCAAGCTCTGGCCTTTGCTAGAGGGAATCATGTTTTCCCGCCACTCGGAGACCAATATCCTGTTGCCTAAGAGCCATCTTGGTGTGGTGGTTAAGAGCAGCAGATTCTAATCTGGAGAACCGGTGTAACAGGCCGGATTAACCCCCCGGCCAGAGTAACCCCGGGGTTACTCTGGCCTAGCCTAGAATAACCCCGGAGGGGTTCTGAGGGGTTATTCTGGCCTAGCCTAGAGTAACCCCGGGTTAATCTGGCCATCTGTAACAGGCCAGATTAATCCCCCCCCGGCCAGAGTAACCCCTGCCTGGCCAGGCCAGAGTAAACCCGGGGTTACTCTGGCCGGGGGGTTACTCTGGGCTAGCCCATACTAACCCCCGCCTGGCCAGAGTGGTAAGTTAAATGTCAGCTGAATCCAATCTCTTCTTTTTTTAACTTCTTTTTAAAAATTCTTCTTTTTAACTGCACAACACAACAACCTAACCCCGGGCTTAGTTGAGTGGTAACTTAACCAGCACAGTGTCAGCTTCTGAGGGTTTCAGGTCCATGAGAAACTTTTCAGGCAATCTGAGATTCCTCTTGGTAGTGAAGAACAGGGTATGAATCCAATCACATTAGTCAAAAGACCCAAATATCAACAGTACTACGACTGACATTTCTTTGGAGAGCCAAATTTTTTAAACTTAAACTATCAGTGGCTATTAGCCACAAGGTAGGTACTTTGTTATTAACTTAATTATGGTAATAAGAACATAAGAACATAAGAGATGCCAATGTTGGATCAGGCCAAAGGCCCATCCAGTCTAACACTCTGTATCACACAGTGGCCAGAAATACCAGGTGCCATCAGGAGGTCCACCAGTGGGGCCAGGACATTAGAAGCCCTCCCACTGTTGACCCCCCCAAGCACCAAGAAGACAGAGCATCACTTGCCCCAGAGCCCCTATCTATACCTTGTGGCTAATAGCCACTGATGGACCTCTGCTCCATATGCTTATCTAATTCCCTTTTGAAGCCGTCCATGCTTGTAGCTGCCACCACTTCCTGTGGCAGTGAATTCCAAGTGTTAATCACTCTTTGGGTGAAGAAGTACTTCCTTTTATCCGTTCTAACCCGACCGCTCTGCAGTTTCATGGAGTGCCCACGAGTTCTTGTATTGTGAGAAAGGGAGAAAAGTACCTCTTTCTCTACCTGCTCTTTCCCATGCATAATCTTATAAACCTCAATCATGTCACCCCTCAGTCGTTGTTTCTCCAAGCTAAAGAGCCCTAAGCGCCTTAACCTTTCCTCATAGGGAAAGTGTTCCAATCCTTTGATCATTCGAGTTGCCCTTTTCTGCACTTTTTCCAAACCTATAATATCCTTTTTAAGGTGGGGTG